TGAGCAGAAGGATTGCCGGAGCCCAGCAGGCGAGGCTGCAGTGGCCGGGAGCAGCCACTGCACTCCGATCTGGGTGACAGAGTGAGACTCCAACTCAAACAAAACAAAACAAAACAAAAAAACATATGTGCTTTCTCAGGGATGAAGAAAGTTAACTTTTCTCTTTGTGGATTTGGCTCGTTATCTTTTTGTTTATTTATTTATTTATTTTTTGAGTTGGAGTCTCACTCTGTCGCCCAGAGTGGAGTGGCTGCTCCCAGCCACTGCAGCCTCGATCTGCTGGGCTCCGGCGATCCTTCTGCCTCAGTCTTCCAAGTAGCTGGAATTACAGGCACACGCTACCACGTCCGGCTGATTTTTTTGATTTATTGTAGAGATGAGGTCTCCCCAAGTTGCCCAAGCGGGTCTCGAACCCGCGGACTCAGGCAATCCACTCACCTCAGCCTCCCAAAGCATGGGATTACAGGCTGAGCCACCGAGCCTGGCTTCATTATCTTTTTTTTTTTTTTTGAGTTGAAGTCTCACTCTTGTCACCCAGACTGGAGTGCAGTGGCCGCTCCCAGCCACCGCAGCCTCAACCTGCTGGGCTCCGGCGATCCTTCCACCTCAGCCTTCCAAGTAGTCGGAATTACAGGCATGTGCTATCACGCCCGGCTGATTTTTTGATTTATTGTAGAGATGAGGTCTCGCTGCCCAGGCGGGTCTCGAACCCGTGGGCTCAGGCAATTCACTCACCTCAGCCTCCCAAAGGTGCGGGATTACAGGCTGAGCCACCGAGCCCAGCTCATTATCTTTTTAAATGAACCTTACAGGGCTCTCATTTTTCTGTACATGGCCATCAGCCGAGCCAAGATTTTAGGCTTACTTTCTATAATTTGCATGATGAAAATAAGTATGATGAATGTATACTTCCTACTTATTCAGTACGCTTCTATTTATACCTTGAAATATAAGAATGCCATAAACCATGTTTCTCAAAGTATAGTTTCCTGACTACCAGCAGCAGCAGCACTTGGGAACTTGTTAGAAATGTAGACTTTTGGTAGGGTGTAGTGACTCAGCCTGTATTCCTAGCACTTTTGGGAGGCCGAGGCAAGAGGACTTGCCTGAGCCTGGGGATTCAAGACCAGCCTGGACAACTTGGTGAGACCTCATTTCTACAATAAATCACAAAAACCAGCCAGGCATGTGCCTGTAGTTCCAGCTACTTGGAAGGCTCAGGCAGAAGAATTGCCTAAACCCAGCAGGTCAAGGTTGCAGTGGCCATGAGCGTGCCCCGCTGCACTCCAGCCTGGGTGACAAGAGTGAGATGTCAACTCAAAACAAACAAAAAACCACAGTTTTTCCAGTCCCATGCAGACCTATGGAATAAGACACTCTGGGGTAGGGTCCAGCAATATGCTCAAACAAGACCTGCAGGGGATTCTGATGCTTCTGATACTCAAATCTGAGTACCACTGCCTCAAAAAAATCTGTCTTAGGCTGGGTGTAGTGGCTCATGCACATAATCCTAGAACTCTGGGAGGCTGAAGTGGGAGGATCACTTTAGCTCAGGAGTTTGAGACCAGTCTAGACAACACAGTGAGACGTTTACGCTACCCAAAAAAAAAAAAAAAAAGGAGCCAGGTGTGGTGGCACATGCCTGCAATCCCAGCTATGTGGGTGGGAGGCTGATGTGAGCTGTGATGGTGCCACTGCACTCCAGCCTGGGCAACAGAGTAAGACTCCAAGTCAAAAGAAAAAAAAATCCAACTTAGTAAAATCTGGTTTGTAGAAAGGAAAAGTTCTCATTTATAATATTTCTTCATCTAATCATCTAATTTCTTTTATTAACTTTATACTTAATCACTTTGGAACCCTGTTTTTCCAATAATTTTTACTGTTGCTAAAACCTGTGGCTAAGTAACCAAGAACCTCCTATGCCATTGTTATATCTTTATGTCTTTAAACTCCATTTGCATACTTAGCATAATAGGAAATGCACCATAATCCTTTGCACTAAACAACAATTATCATTTTACGTTGACATGAATTCTCACAGTTTTACTAACTACAACTACTAGCACAAGATAGACACATACCTGACAAGGACAAATACCACAAGGGTAAGTCCAGACATGCTATGCCACGCTGTTGTATGACCCCACTCCAACCATTTCTCTTCTGACCATGCCTACAAAGCTAGTCTAGAAAATACTTCTACTGTTTTGTAGTTGGAACAAAAACAATTAGTTCTAGAGGATCAAAAGACAAGCTGCCTCCTATTTACCTGTTGATACTGAGATCCAGGTGAATGAGGGTACAATGGGGCATCTTCAGGCAGAGGCGACTCATGCTCATCTGGGGCATCTTGGTCATCTGGTTCCTAATTTTGAATATTTAAATATAAAGAATTATGTAGGCAATTCAAGTTTGTTAACTTCTTCTATTTGAAATAAACTTTTAAAACCCATAATACTGATCCCTTAACAACTTTTCTTTTACTGCAGAAAAACAAATTAAAGAAATTAGAGCCAGGCTCAGTGGCTCAGCTTGTAATCCCACACTTTGGGAGGCTGAGGTGAGTGGATTGCCTGAGCCCATGGGTTCAAGATCCACCTGGGTAACTTGGCGAGACCTCATCTCTACAATAAATCAAAAAATTAGCTGGGCATGGTAGCGCGCGCCTGTAGTTCCAGCTACTTGGAAGGCTGAGGCGGAAGGATAGCTGGAGCCCAGGAGATCGAGGCTGCGGTGGCCGGGAGTGTGCCACTGCCCTCCAGCCTGGGCAACAGAGTGAGACTCCAACACAAAAAAACAAAACAAAACAACAACAAATAACTAGCTGGGCGTGGTAGTGCACGCCTGTAGTTCCGGCTACTTGGAAGGCTGAGGCGGAAGGATCGCTGGAGCCCAGCAGGTCGAGACTGCGGTGGCTTGGGAGCGTGCCACTGCACTCCCATCTGGGTGACAGAGTGAGAATCCAACTCAAAAAAACCCTAAATTGGATTCTCTTAGAAATACTACAGTTCAGGCAATTTCACAGAAATTTCTCCAAAACAAGGCTCCCTCATTAGCGTAACACAACACATAGTAAACATTAAAAAAAAAACCACCCAAGCTTCAACATGATTTTTAAATACTATAATTAATACATTAACACTGGCCTATAAAGTAAAGATTTACTTTGCTCTCTTCCATTTCTATCTGCTGCACACTGGTGGCTTTTTTTACCTCCTCTGGACAGAGTTCACAAGCTTTTGCAAGTGTCATCCTAGCACTATGTGATCTCTCCAAGAAATAACCATTTGATGTTTCATTGCTTTGTACAGGGGGAGACCAATTGTTGTAAGTATACTGAGGATTGCCAGTATACGGTCTTCTTTCAAGTTCATCTCCAAGCCATTCCACTGCCCAGGTCCACTTTCTTTTAAGATCTCCGTTGCTCTTCAAAAGAAATAAAACCATATATGTAAGAGGATTCGGAACACTTCAAAGTTAACTTAAAATGACGACTGCAAATGTTCATAATTTTCTTCTTTTAAAACAGAATCCATAATTATGATAAGATTTCTAAAAATTCTAAGAACTTTAAAACCCGTACCTGAAGGATCTGATAAGCAACCGGACAATTACTAAACAGAGCTACCATACATTTTATACATTGGTATGCTCTTTTTTGATAGTGATTCTTAGAGCGCTGGATTGTGTCAAACAGCCCATCTCGGTCATCCGGAATTCCTTTCAGTGCATTATGAATTCTGAAAGAGAATCAAATACAAAATAAAAACTTATAACACTAGCTAAGGTTTATTAAATGCCTATTATGTGCCACTCAATAAATGTCTCTGATTTAGTCATTTAATCTAACGTTAGACAGTAGGTACTATTATTTAACCTAACAAATGAGAAAATGGGCACAGAACCACACAGCTTGTCAAGGTTATACAGCAGCTTAGTGGTCTGATTTCAGAGTCTGCATTCTTATCGACTTATTACCAATCCAAGATGATTCTGCTATGTAGGCAATTTAAATACATTACCAGAAGTGAATTCAGGACACTCAAAGTAATGCAAACTTTAAAAAAGTTAACATGAAGCCGGGTTCGGTGGCTCAGCCTGTAATCCCGTGCCTCTGGGAGGCTGCGGTGAGTGGATTGCCTGAGCCCGCGGGTTCGAGACCCGCCTGGGCAGGCGAGACCTCATCTCTCCAATAAAATTAAAAAAAAAAAAAAAATTAGCTGGGCGTGGTAGTGCGCGCCTGTAATTCCGGCTACTCGGAAGGCTGAGGCAGAAGGATCACCGGAGCCCAGCAGGTCGAGGCTGCGGTGGCCGGGAGCAGCCACTGCACTCCAGTCTGGGCGACAGAGTGAGACTCCAACTCAAATAAATAAAAATAAAAAAATAAAAAAAGTTAACATGGAAGGCTGAGGCAGAAAGATCGCCGGAGCCCAGCAGGTCGAGGCCGCAGTGGCCGGGAGCTGCCACTGCTCTCCAGTCTGGGCAACAGAGTGAGACTCCAACTCAAAAAAAAAAAAAAAAGTTAACTAATAGCTAAGTTTACAACTGCTGGGGTTGAGATTAATTTGCTTTAATTCAATTTCTTTTATAAAACAGCATTTCTGAAGGTAAATTAGTGTCCAGTGACATAATTTGGAAGTACAGAATACATCTGTATGCTAATGAGAATACATGGCAGGTAAAGCAGTTTTCACAGGCAATAGTACAATTTGGCTGACTTGCTAATAAAATAAGATTTCATTTCAGCTCCTGCCAAACTGCAACAGAATAATATATAGCCAACTATTTCCTGTTCTTCCTCAAAATAACCAATTTTAAAAATGATTGGAATGGCAAAAACATGCCTTGTTCCTTTTGTGTTAAAAACATTACTCAGCTGGGCGTGGTAGCTCACTTTGGGAGGTGGAGGCGAGAGGACTGCGTGAGCCCAGAGGTTTGAGACCAGCCTCGGCAACTTGGCGAGACCTCATCTCTACAATAAATAAAAAAATAGGCCAGGCATGGTGGTGCACACCTGTGGTTCCAGCTACTTGGAAGGGTGAGGCAGAAGGATCACCTGAGCCCAGTAGATCAAGGCTGCAGTGGCTGTGAGCTTGTCACTGCATGCCAGCCTGGGGGATTTGTCACTGCACTCCAGCCTGGGGGATAAAGTGAGACTGACTCAAAAACAAAAAACAAACAAAAAAAATTGTCGGTACATAAAATGTAACACGTATCTCCATATAATGGAAAAATTAACTAAAAAAGAATATAGTACTGACATATGCTTTAATATGCATGAACCTTGAAAACATTATAAAGACAAAAAAGACACATAATATATGATTATATCTTTATGAAATGTCCAGAATAGGCAAATTCAGAGAGACAGACAAGGTTGCCAGGAGCTGGAAAGAAACAGACAGTGACTGCTTAATTGGGTAGAGGGTTTCCTTTTGGGGTAATGAAAATGTACTGGAACCAGATAGTGGTAATGGCTATACAACATTGCGAATTTCCTAAAAGGCACAGGACTATACACTTTAAAATGGTTGATTTTATGTTATGTAAATTTTACTTCAGTAAAATAAACAAAAAAAACCAACCCTGAATACTCAGAATTGAAAGATGCTTATGTACACTACATGCTTTACATGTTCCAATTCAAAAAGCAAGACATTTTTCTCTCCACTATATGCATGTATAAAACCTGTTTTGTTTGTAAATCATTACTTCAGCAATTTTGCTAAATTTAATCATTTCAGAAAAATCAACCACGTACAGGCCTCTTGCTGTTTAGTCTGAAACACTGCATGTAGACTGTTTTTACCTTCAGTTATGTCAAGTTACAATGAAGTGCTAAATCATTATTTCTGCTCTACCATGTTTTCTACCCATTAGTATCAACTGTTTTCAAATGCCATTTTAATTAATATTTTATTTGCCTGCTTTGTTACCTGATGCTTAGCAGTGCTGGGCATATGACAGACACTCCATAAGTATTGAACACTGTTTACTGAATGAACTAAGAGGGCACTATGAGAAAATTATTTCCAAGTGTAGGCCAGTGATTCACAATAATATCTTACTAATCGGATCACATGAAATTCAATATCCCATATTTAATCCAGCAGCACATATGTCTCTGCCATTATCACTTGCTCTAATAAAAAAGGCTCTAAGATTTGACCAACTAGTTTCAAGCTATAAATGCTTACGATATTTTAAAAAAGAAAATAGTAAAAGTTAGATTTGATTAAATAAGCTCTGAGAAAAGTTTCAAAGTCTGACTATACTGAGAAGGGCACTGCTGAATACTGCCTGAGATAAATGACTATACTTGGGAACTACTATATTTTGTGCCTCATAAAAACTAATTTTTGATTTAATGCTATTTTTCCAGTATTAATATGTCTGCTTGAAATTGATGATGCAGCCGGGCTCGGTGGCTCAGTCTGTAATCCCGTGACTTTGGGAGGCTGAGGTGAGTGGAATCCCTGAGCCCACGGGTTTGAGACCCACCTGGGCAACTTGGCGAGGTCTCATCTCTACAATAAATCAAAAAATTAGCCGGGCGTGGTAATGCACGCCTGTAATTCCAGCTACCTGGAAGGCTGAGGCAGAAGGATTGCCGGAGCCCAGCAGGCGGAGGCTGCGGTGGCCGGGAGCGGCCACTGCACTCCAGTCTGGGTGACAGAGTGAGACTCCAACTTAAAAAATAAAATAAAATCGATGATGATAAATTTGAAGATAATTTGAAAATACTAATTTGTGAATTCTGGCATTTGCAATCCTCACTAAAACTCCATATTATAACTTCTCTTTAAGCATTTTGTTATAGAACTTGTTTTCGAGTTTGTTTCATTACAGTGACAGATGGGAGGCAATCTGCTATACAAGTTATGAATTTTTCCCAAAATAAACTATTATATTATCTTCCACGTGGGAAGGAAAGTTAGAAAACTTGGCAGAGTTGTCAACTAATTCTATAATTTATCATCAACTATATGATTCATGGGATTAAAGATATTATATTAAACATGTACTACCAAAAAAAATTAATTCTGGGGGAAGTTTGGGGGCCAGTTAACCTAGATAACCTCAGTTCTTAGAAAAAAAAAATATTAGCATGCTGAAACTTCTCATATACTAAAAAGTTAAGTATAATTGATCATCTCATTATTCTTTAATTCTGTATTTGTGAATTTCCTTACTTCCTAAACTTCATTGGTCATCTGTGAACACGTGCAGAATAGCAAAACTCTCAAATTGTCCAACACAAACATTCCTAGCTAAAGTCCAACAAAGTGACACTCTGCCTTGTTCAGCTTAAACTGTAAACAAGTATCCTTCTTTGCAGTCTATTTACTGCCACATTTTTTGGTTTTTTTTTTGAGTTGGAGTCTCACTCTGTCGCCCAGACTGGCGTGCAGTGGCCGCTCCTGGCCACTGCAGCCTTGACCTGCTGGGCTCCGGTTATCCTTCCTCCTCAGCCTTCCGAGTAGCTGGAACTACAGGTGTGCGCTACCACACCCGGCTAATTTTTTGATTTATTGTAGAGATGAGGTCTCACCAAGTTGCCCAGGCGGGTCTCGAACCTGCGGGCTCAGGCAATCCACTCACCTCAGTCCCCCAAAGCGCGGGATTACAGGCTGAGCCACCAGGCCCGGCTTACTGTCACATTTTTAACATATTTGCACTTTTGTTGGTGATTTCATGTTTAAAATGGTCCCCAAGTGTATAATGCTGAAATGCTATCTGGTGTTCCTAAATATCAGAAGGCTATGATGAATCCTGGGAGAACCTGTGCTGATAAGCTTAGTTCAGGCCTAAGTTATAGAGTTGAGAGCTTAATGTGTTAATGATTCAATATGTGTTAAGTAAGATGACTTTAATCAGAAACACATAAAAAAGGTTATGGGCTGGGCAAAGTGATTGGCCTGTAATCCCAGTGCTTTAGGAGGTTGAGGTGGGAGAATTGTTTGAGGCCAGGAGTTCAAAACAAGCCAGGGCAACACAGGGAGACCCCCTATCTACCAAAAACAAACAAACAAACAAAAAAACCTCAACAAAAACAAAACAAAACAAACAAAAAATCCCAGCCAGGCTCGGTGGCACATGCCTATAGTCCCAGCTACTTGGGAGGCTGAAACAGGAATATTGCCTGAGTCCAGGAGTTTGAGGTTACGGTAAACTAAGGTCTCATCACTGCACTCTAGACTGGGTGACAGAGCAAGCCTCCATCTCCAAAAAATAAATAAAAACTCCCCAAACAAGGTTATATATTGACTGCCTGATGAAAATTTAAATAGAAGTTTGCAGAAACCTAACCCCGTATTTCCTTCTAGGCACAGTGGTTCAGTATTTGCTAACTAAGTGTTTGTGGTGACTCTATAGAATATACCATAGTAAAGGAAACTGACTGTACTTACATAGGAACTATTTTTAGATTCTCACACTTCATTTAACGAATGGCTACTTCATGTTACTAATCCTAAAACTACCGTTTAAATCCTAAAATAACCCTAGGGAATCATTAGTGAAACTCAAATATTTACCAAAAGCCTATGCTGGTTTTCCCTTAAATTAAAAAAAAAAACAAATTCAAAAGAGAAAAGTATATTAATTATGAACTTGGGTAACAGGAGAAAATAAAAAAATTAAATAAAATTATAAGTGTGTGTGTGTGGGGAGACTTGTTATTTCCCCTTGTCCTAAGTTTTTGCTTAAGATAAAATATTCACTAGGAACTCCGAGATGAAAAAATAAAGTGGTGACTGTCAATCTCAGTTATTCTAACATCTGGGCAAGTCTAATTATTTACAGTAACAAAACAAGAGTGTCTACCTGTGAGTCTGCCAGGAGTCCTCAATCAGTAAGATTTGCAAAAGCAGATCCAAGTAGGGCCGCAGTTCATAGGTATAGGAATATGCAATCTAAAAACAGGTAAATGGTGAATAACTTAAAGGAATAACAAATCAAATTATAGAGACATGTAAATCTTTGTTTTCCTTTAACCTGCCAGAGAAGTTCACTGAGGACTGTAGATGAGAACTGAGGATTCTCCCAGCAGCAAAAACGAAGCAATTTGACAGTTTCCTCTGAGTTACTGCAGTCTTCAATGATTTTCTTCACATAACTTGTTCTCACAAATAAAATGTCTGCCACATTCTGCTGAATTGGCATTATAGGTTGTGATAAATTAGGATCACCAAAAGGATTGGGAAGAGGAGGATTACCTAGAATACAGATTTGTCATCAATAAAAAATGAGTAAGTTTTTCCACAATAACAATACACAGCTTCCACCATAGTGAATAGCCTATTAATTTTTTATTTTAGGAAAAAACCATTTGGCTGGGTGTAGTGGCTCATGCCTGTAATCCCAGCACTTTGAGAGGCAGAGGTAAGAGGACTGCCTGAGTCCAATGGTCTGAAACCAGCCTGGGCAAGTTTGGGAGACCCTGTCTTTACAATAAAAAAAAATTAGCCGGGCATGGTGGCATGTGCCTATAGTTCCAGTTACTTGGAAGGCTAAGACGGAAGGATCGCCTGAGTCCAGTAGGTCAAGGCTGTGTTAGCCAAGATCGTGCCACTACACTTCAGCCTGGGCGACAGAGTAAGACTCCTATTAAAAAACAAAACAAAACAAAAAACTGATGCCTGGGTATTGTGGCTCACACCTGTAATCCCAGCACTTTGGGAGGCTGAGGTGGGAGGATCACTTGAGGCCAGGAATTCAAGAGTAGCCAGAGCCTCAGAGTGAGATCCTATCTCTACAAAAAATAGAAACTAACACTGTAAATCAAGTTTCCTAAGCACAATGAAGTAATATCATGCATTACAATGATCAGAAATACCAAGATGATAACATGTAAAATTTATTTTTTTCAATCTTATTTTTTAGAGTCAGTCTCACTCTGTCACCCAGGCTGGGTGCAATGGTGCGATCACAGCTCACTGCAGCCTCAACCTCCTGGGCTTATTTTAGGGGATCCTTCCACTTCAGCGTCTCAAGGAGCTGAGACCACAAGTGCGTGCTACCACTCCTGGCTAATTTTTTGTTTTACCTTTTTGTAAAGACGAGGTCTCACTATGTTTGTTGCCTAGGCTTGTCTTGAACTCCTGGGTTCAAGGAATCCTCCTGCCTCAGCCTCTCAAAGTGCTGAGATTATAGGCATGAGACACCACATCCAGCCAAAATGCAAAATTTAAATGTCAACACTGACACTTAACTATACAAAAAGTTAATTCTTAAACTACTTCATAAGCATGGTATCAAACCCGGAAACAAGTGGACAGAAAAAGGATCACCATTAATCATATGAGAAAGGCCTAGGACTCAAAACATTATAATATCAGAATATTCCAAAAACACAATTCCTGAATTCAGATTCCGATTTTGCACTTGAACATATTCAGACCATGTAATCAAGTACTATGTAAGCCCAGCAGTATTTTAAAACTACTGTAAAAAACAGAGTATTCAACTTTACCATTGATTGAAGACTGCATTCTTGATGAGACATTGCAACAGCGAATCAGCTGTGACACTACTGAGTATAATTTGCCCAATTCAGCATACTGATATTTAATTGGAGGACCTGGACCTTCATCCAAAGACACAAGCATAAAGGTAGCAGGTACACTCAATTTCAGAAGCTGTGTTTTCTCTGCCACACCTACAACGAAGGAATGAAAAAGGAGAGAAGCAGGAAAAGGGTCAGAAAAATTAGGACGGCAAAGGCTCTGTGAATAAAAAAGGTAACTATACAAAATATTTTCCATTTAACCAGAATAGAAAACTTACCCACTGAGTATAATTAAAGTACTAAAATTGTTAAAAAGTAATCATGACTATGACATTTCTTTTTTTTTTATTTTTTTTTTGAGTTGGAGTCTCACTCTGTCACCCAGACTAGAGTGCAGTGGCCACTCCCGGCCACCGCAGCCTGAACCTGCTGGGCTCCAGCGATCCTTCCGCCTCAGCCTTCCAAGTAGCTGGAACTACAAGCGCGCACTACCACGCCTGGCTAAGTTTTTGATATATTGTAGAGATGAGGGCTTGCCAAGTTGCCCAGGCGGGTCTCGAACCCACAGGCTCAGGCAATCCACTCACCTCAGTCTCCCAAAGCGTGGGATTATAGGCTGAGCCACCGAGCCCGGCTTGACTATGACATTTCAATCATACTTTGCCACCATAAGGAGAGGAACACTTTCTATGGCCTGGAGAGTCTAAAAGGGACTAACCTAGATTGTAACCCTTATTGTTAAGAATTTTTTTATAAACTGCGTGCCTCTTTTTTTCCCTCTACAGCCAAACTTTTTAAAAAATGATACCTACACATTTGGTCTACTTTCTCATTTTCTACTCCTCAGCCCACCTTAATTTGGTTTCTGTCCCTCTTCATAGTATAAAGCTTAGGAGCAGTTCTCAAATTGTACCTACTTCCTTCCTTCTTAAATTCCTAATTTTCTTTCTACTTCTTGGTCTTGTTAGTCCTCCTTCCCCTATTCTCTTTTTTTTTTTTTTTTTTTTGAGTCGGAATCTCACTCTGTCACCCAGACTGGAGTGCAGTGGCCGCTCCTCCGGCGATCCTTCCACCTCAGCCTTCCGAGTAGCCGAAATTACAGGCATGCGCTACCACACCCGGCTGATATTTTGATTTATTGTAGAGATGAGGTCTCGCCTGCCCAGGCGGGTCCTGAACCCACAGGCTCAGGCAATCCACTCACCTCAGCCTCCCAAGGCGCAGGATTACAGGCTGAGCCACCGAGGCCAGTCTTCCCCTATCTCTTAAAAAACTGCTTCTCATTTCCCTAGATGGTCAAGCTCACTCTCGTGGCTTTAAAGTTCTTGGTATTTTCATCCAGATGATTCAAAAATATTTCCAGACAGTGTATCTTACTGTTCTACTGGATATCTCCATTTGGGTGTCACACAATTCATTTATCCAAACAGAACTCATCTTTCTCCCTATACATATTTTTCCTACTGGTTTTCCCCTCAGTAAATGGCACCACTGTCCCCTCAGTTGCTCAAGTTGGAATCCCGGGCATCATTCTTCACATCTCTTCTCCGACACCTCCTCTGAAAATCCAATCACCACACCCACTGACTCTTTTAGAAAAAGTAGCACAATCTGTCCACTAGTTTCTATTTTAGACCAGGTTATATTCCATCACATGACCTAAATTACTTCACCATTTAATACACTAAAACAGAATTATGAAAAACTTAAATTCTTACCTAAATTGGCATACATTACAAACAGGTTGAAATACTGCTGTAAATGACGCCCATGCTCTGAAACTTCCCTTCTCAAGAGATTTAGTACTGCTCTTAGTAAGTGATCACTCAAGCTTAAGTTGTCATAAGCCTGTGAAGAATAAGCAACAGGTATGATGCAGGTATGATATAATTCTGTTTGCACAAAAGACATGTACATATATATGTTGAAAATGGGCATACATTTATGGAAGGACTGATCACACAAACTACTAAAAAAGGGTTGCTTCTTGGGAAAGGAAATGAAGATCTGAGGTAGATTTCATTGTAAGTACTTCACGTAATTTTTTAAAAATTGAAACTCTACTAAAAAAAGTTTAAAATTGAAAAAATCTACTTAGCCGTGAGTTTACAATTAAGTATGCAACTGAATGGGAAAATTTTCCTCATATTTTTAAAGAACCAATTATCACTATTATTGGTATGCAGTAATTTTTTTAAAAATAGGGTTTCATTCTGTCACCAAGGCTAGAGCACAGTGGTATGATCATAGCTCACTGTATCCTTGAACTCCTGGGCTCAAGCAATCCTCCTGGCTCTGCCTCCTGAGTAGGTAGGAGTACAGACGTGTGCTATCATACCTGGAAAATTTAAAAATTTTTTTGTAGAGACAGGAGTCTCGCTTTACTGCCAAGGCTGATCTTGAGAACTCTTGGCCTCAAGTGATCCTCCTGCCTTTGGCCTTCCAAAGTGCTTGAATTACAGGCATAAGCCATCATGCCTGGTCCTCCAGTAATTTTAATGAAAATCACAGATTGTATGTGCGTATATATGTTAGGTAAACATATCAAACAGAACCACACGTTTGTGATTTCAACTTTCAGGAAACACCATTTATTTGTAAGTATTTAATTATCAGAAAGAAAGTTGTGCAATTACCTGACTAGAAGGTCCAGGAGATGCAAAAGGTGAAGGACATGGCCCATCTTGTAAGGAAAAATGTGCGATAAAAACTATAAGTTTTGCAAATGCACCCCTCACTTCTGCACTAGGGCACTCCAAAAGGTATTCGGAGAAGCGATTTGAAACATTAAAAAGGACATTATGAGCAAACCAAAAACGTACATTCTTGCTATGACGAAGGAGAACACACAATGCATCATACCTAAAACAAAACAAACAATCTATGACTACCAAAGTTCATTAATTTCTTTCCTATAGTAAAAGGATGGATCTCCACGAACCAAAAAAGGACAAAAACCTTTTCTTACTGCAAGAAAGAGAACCAGCAATGGTTGTTTCTTGCATAAAACTTTAAAGTAATAGATAAATATTATGACTTGATCTATTCTCACAGAGTTACAAAATAGGAAAAAGCTTGTACTGTCCTCTAAAAATGCATTACCAGACTCTTCCTAGGTTCAATGACAAATTTACTTCTGCATAAGAAAGAAATTATTAAAACAAGGTATTATAATGGCCCCTATATTTTTATAATTAGAGACTTAAGAGAACCATTTAAATTTGTTTACCCTTTTAATCTATGTCAGAATTCAATCTAGGAAGCTAAAACCTAATCATTTCATTTTGTAATCTTTGGCATAGGATGATCGAGGTAATAGGAGCAGAAGTCAGTTTCGGACTAACCAAAGGCCAAGTTTAGACTAAGTACTATTTTATTATGCTTTCTCTCACTATTGTATCTAAGAGTTTTTTATTTTGCATTCCTAACTTGAAACAAGATTTTCATGGTTAGGAAAAAATAAAGCAGTCTATTGAAGAACCAAACCAAATATTAGTGTAATAGAAATGAAAATCCAAAGCAACATACCAATCACTGGCAGAGCCACGGACTATTTTCTTTGTGTGAAATCCTGTAGTAAAGAGGAACCTAGCAGCAAGTTGAATACTGATCATAGTGATTTCTTCTGCTTCAGGTAATAGGTGATCCTGACCTATAAATGAAATGCAGATATTAAAAAAAGAAAATCAAACAAATTTCTATTTTCAAGTCACTTTTTCAAACAAGTCTGCATTTTCACTAATTTTGAGAAGTCCTAAATGTGTTCCCCTTCTCAGGCTACTTATGAAATAATTCTTATTCCCAATTCCAGCAGCTCAGCATAGTACATTTCAAACTAATAAATGAGTTAAAAAACAAACTGTTAAATAAAAGCTCTTGTTTCCAAACAGTAGACCATTCACGTGTAATACTCACTCTATTTTATTTTTGAGAAAGCAGGATACATTGAAAGAATAGAGAAGCTCCCACCAGTGGGAGGGGACCCGAAGGGGTTGCCCTGTAATACTCATTTTAAATGTGACTTCAAAATAACCAAAAGCAAAAAAATTAGGACCATTAAAAGTTAAAAAACTAATTTTATGAACTTAAACATGTTAGTGCCTACTAAGAAACAGTATTAAAAATTATTACTAAGAAGTTAAACTCTTGAACTTACCTGGAGGAGGGTTTAAGTAAACACCATTACATGTAAGCAGTTTTTTCATAAACTGAAAATACTCCAAACTGTACTGCATTCGGTTATGCATGAATTGTACATTCTGTTTCCGTACACTTCTCTCAATGGCTGATGGCATAATGATCTGATGAGGTCTCGTGGTGACAGCAAGCTCCGATATATATCTTATCAACTCATTATCTTGGTCTATTGTGTCCATTCGTTCATAAAAGAGTATATAAGCATTCCACCACCTTTTCTGGCGCCTATATGACATGCGCTTCATCATGTGATCAAATACTTCTCCCATGTACTCTCCACCAAAACACTGGTTTTTCATTTCTTCATCGTCATCCATTTTACACTCTGTTACATCACCATCATCAAATTTATACCAGCGATTCCTCTCACCATCTCCACCATTCCTTTGAATAATGTAAGAATAGTAATGTCCTCCACTTGCTTGACCGCTGTGTACGAGCACACCCACAAGTCTGTATTTTGTGCTTCCTGTTGTCTCACTTTCAGACTGCTCATTCTGTTGTATCAATTGACTCTCTGGGTTTACATTATCTCTTTCCAGCTTTGCAACACCTGCAACTGTGTAAGGTTCCATGTCTAGCTCTCGGGGAAATTCAAAATAATCATTGAACTTGATTGCACATTCTCTTTCCCAATCATAGTCAAATCGTTTTAGTTGGATAGCAAGAACAGGAGGTAATTTTTTAATCAGCAAGCGCTTTACGGTATCAACCTAAAATAAACAAAGAAAGTTACCGGATGTCTTCTTATAATTCACTGCAAAAAAAGCAAGCAAAGAAAAAAACAAAACTTATACAAACTCTTAAGACTTATCTGAATTTGTAAGTGTAAACAAACACATGATAATGAACATAAGGTAATTCTGTCACAGTTGATTTGAATGTTAACTAAAACTAATATAGAAATGGCCTATGCCATTTGTTACAAACGGCAATTTGCTGCCTGGTTTCTATACCGTCACTGCAATTCAACCATCGTCACAAGTAGTAACGTATTCTTACAACCTTCTCACGCAGGTACTACTGAACCTTAAAGATGAGGATTAGGAGTCACAGAGCTGTTAAGATGCTTGCCTCAAGTCTCAGAGTGGTGAGTGAAAGAGAATATGGTGTTACAGCCCACGATCTCAATCTCTAGACTATAATACTGATCTAAGGTGGTGTGTAAGGTCAAAACAACACAAGTGACTCTGAGGTGAGAAGGCTGGGGAGCCCAAGAAGATACACCTTATTTACTATTTGTGTATGTTAATCATCTTTCCCAAAAGCTGCTAAAAAGTTCCACAGATAAAAACTAATCAGGTGGGTCTAAAAAAATCTGATCCAAATGGTTTAACAACACAGGTGGTAATAGAAATCTTATGTGGTAATATAAACTAACAGCTTCAGCAATTTTTGAGGTCTAAACAAGTGACCCTGGACATGAGGAGAAATGGTTTCCTCTATCAGTTCTATAGCACTGACAGGTTCAATAGCAGTTTATTTCTTGGTAGAGATGTAAAATGTCTGTGTAGCTTATATAAGAAAATGACATTCAAGCTATTATAACTTCTAAAATTATTCACTTATTTACCTGTTTTCCCTAGCCCCTCTGGCACTACGTAATCTTCTTTCCTTGACAAATCTTTAAATTAGATATCATCTTGACTACCTCTCTGCTACTACTATAACAAAGCAGGCTAGAGAATAAAGAGGCTGCATTCTGAGGATGAACAAAAGCAACCAACTTCTTCCAAACCCACTAAATGTAATCATAATTATGTTAAACAAGTGAACCCATACCTTTTTATTGCACTTTTCACAATGATACGCATTTGCACCTTCTAGTAAATCTCCTTTGACATATTGTTCCAAAGAATCAACAAGATTTTGGTGATTTCTAATGTCTACGTTTAAAGTCGTAAAAGATTCTTCACATTCGTACCTAAAGACATTTAAGCAATGATCAAAAAGGATCTATCTCTTGTTTTTCAAAACATTTTATTTAGTTATAGACTTAATGAAAACTACCTGGTTATATTTATTATACAATAGGAAATACACAAGTCATAGAATGTTACCAATAAATGACTATTGACTTAGTCAAGATTATAAGGCAAAATGGTGTTTTAAAGTTGAATCTGTCTGGGCTCACAGCTTAAGCTCTTTATAGTCTATCTACTATGCTGCTTCCAGTGTTAACTCTTTAGACGGTAATTCATGCCAAGGTCAAAGCATTAACTTATTAAATCCTAAAGAGAGTATTTTACACTATTTTAAAATTTTATTTTATTTTAGAGACAGGGTCTCTAAAATCTGTTGCCCAGGCTAGAGTACAGTGTGTGATCACAGCTTATTGCGGCCTCAAACTCCTGGGATCAACTGATCCTTCTGCCTCAGCCTCCCAAGTAGCTGGGACTACAGGCACATGCCTACACACAGAGCTAATTAATTTACTTTGTCTTATTTTTTTGTAGAGATGGGCACTCGCTTTGTTGCCCAGGCTAGTCTTAAATTCCTGGTCTCAAGCAGTTCCTCCCAAAGTGCTGGGCTTAGAAGCCCACACTTGGTCTGGATATTTTGAACTGTTAATGGGCTGAATTTTAAAACGTTCTTCCTTTTCTGTAGTGGAAATTACTAAAGCACATGTTGGAACTCACACAACTGAGTAGGGGATAAGCAATCTAAGTAGAAGCCAGAATCTAAGACTATGGTAATTTTATACCAAAGGGATTTTTCGATTTCTGATAAGACATATTCATAAATTCAGAACATGGGAGGTGGGAAATACATTCTCAACCATTAAATTCATTCATTCAGCCGGGCTCGGTGGCTCAGCCTGTAATCCCACGCCTTTGGGAGGCTGAGGTGAGTGGACTGCCTGAGCCCGTGGGTTTGAGACC